CCTCCCCACCCTCCAAGTCGGGTTTGGGGCCATGGTGAGTGATATAACGGGCAACCAACAAAACAATCGTCTGCGACGGACATGGAACAAGCAAAATAGAACCACTTTGGTGTCATGATGCTGTCACCTATGGGATGATTGGGATTACGTACATGCCAGGAACAAGACAAACGCAAACTGACATCCTGATGGGACGCATTGGTTGAATCCATAGTTCTTGCCCGCCACGAAGGCTTCCCTTTCCGCAACTAGCGCCGTCCGTGCTCCTCCTTCAAGTCGCGACTAGGGGAAGCCGTCGAAGATAATCTAGGAAGAAAAAAGTTTGCCGCCGAATGCCGGGTTCCAGCTAAAACTCTAGGCTAGCGAGCTCAGGTCGCGTTGCCAGCCTCTGAGAAATTTTGGCTAGTGGGGAGAGAGAGAGAAGCTTGTAATTCCTCGGAGGTTAGGTAGTGTATAGCCAGTGGATGGTCAGGTAGATGCGGTGTCGGGCCCTCGAGATCTTTTGGTATGGACATCTGTGGTGTCTTTGGGAGCAGGACAGAACCTCAGCCTCCCCCCGAAAAGCCGTACGTAACTGCTTCCAGCAGCCAGCAGTTGTTGGCTGGCACAGTCTCTGGACCCCACGGCTTCACCATGTATGTTTTTAGTCATTCGGGCGCCTGGTTTCGCTCCCAGAGAGTCATGTCCAGGGTGGTGTTCATGCTGCCGGTTGCACACCCATGCCAGATCCCTCGTCTCGCTTCCTCCATCCATCTGGACCCCCCACTCTCAGTTGCCCACCCGCCCAGACCACCGCCCCCCACCCGCTGGGCGAGATGCCCAGCGAGTGACCAGGGCGCTGACGGACGCCTCCAAGTGCTGAGTTAGAACTTAGCGCTCCAGATGCCCTGGGCCTGTGCTTTCAACCTGCAAAGAACGAACGGCACCCTCTAGCACCTTGACTGCAGCAGCATTGTCACTACCTACTCCTACCTACCTAGTAGGTAAGGTAAGGTGCAGTCTGTGCCCCCCTCGGTTATTAGGAGCCTACCGTGGTTGGGCAATCGACCTCTCCGACCCAAAGAGAACGGTCCGTTCAAGAATCCGTAGCTTTTTTCACTCTTGGAGAGCTCTTACGAAGGCCCCACCACTAAATCGGCAAACCCCTTCAGGATGTACCTAAGAGAGATGTGTAGTCCAGTAATATTTTGGCAGGCCCCAGTGCTAAATGTGCCTAGACTTGGTACTTGGCAACTCGCTCCGAATCGAGGTTTAGTAGCTCGAGAGTGTAGCAAGGTCACCCTTCCCGTCCTTCTCGCTGGACCAGACTTGCGCTTTCTCCCCTCACATTTCTCATTCTGCGATGACCATCATCTCCACCGAGCAAGCTTGGTTTGTTGCTTTCTTTTTCTTCATTGTGGCGCTCCTGTTCGTCCAGTGACCTGTCCGGCCGTTACACGCCAATCCTCCAACCCCAGCCGATGTCACCCACTGCAGAAGTGATTTGATTCACTAAGTCCGCCTGTCATACTCAGCGTTGGCCTTCAGCTCGACAAGATCATCCGAGTCGACCCCCCCCTCCTTCGCAAGGTCGCGACACGATTTCAGACTCGGCCACGATAGCCGCGGTGTAGCGCCTTCACGGCGACGTGCAACATTTTCATCGCCTTGTCGAGTCTATGCTGTGCAGCGCACGCTCGACCCAATCTGCGCACGCCCGACAGGCTCCGTCGACAGGCTTTCGCCCACCACTCGCCTAGTCAATCTTGCCGAGCCGCTCCGTTTCAACATCACCCACCCCTCATTGCGAGCACATACGATGGCATCAGCCACTTGGGATGGCCATGACCATCACATGGCTGCCGGTCCCGATGATGATTTCCAACACTTTCTCGACATGTCCTCCATCGGCGATGGCATGCAGTTCGACTTCAACGGCTTCCCAGATGGCGCCGAGGCACAGGCGATGATGAATCGCCAACGGAATCCTCCTGATGCCATCATGAATGATGCCGGCGCTTCGTCCATGATGCCACAGGGAGCTGGAATGATGCATGGCCAACCCGCTCAAATCAACCCGTCTGGCCCTCCGCACACTTCTGCCGCCGCGCAGATGATTCCAACGACTGCGCCGGCTTCGGACTCCATCTCCAGTATCGACGCCCAGATCCAGTACCTGCAGCAGCAGAAGTTCCAGCAACAGCAACGACAGATCCAAGAGCAGCGAAACGCTTTCTTTGCGAGCCAAAACCATTCCGTCCCACCGACCCCTCAGAGCATTGAGATGCCTCCCGGGAGCGGTAACTTTTACACACAAGAGCAAATGTCGCATGAGGTGTACGATGGGGGCTATCATCAGCAGCAACGGATGAAGGAGCGACAAGATGTGAGTTCCTTCTTCCCCCTCCCGAATTCCCCGATTCTGTCCCCCCCCGCAACGACAATGCGACTGTATTCTGTTGCTTGTGTGGCCTCGTACTGATGTAGACTTGTACTACCTTAGATGGCATTTACGCCGCTTGTATCGCCAGCCGTCACCCCGCTGGAAACGCACTACATGGAAAACAACTTTACCGCGTACTTTAGCCCTCTGACATCACCAGCCCTGCACGCCCAAAACGACTCCTCGTCCGTCTACGACCCTAGCACCCAGTCAAATAACTCTCCCATTGAGATGGACCTCGACATGTCACAGGCTCCCGCTGTAGTACCCATGGAACTGTCCAAGAAAGCAAGGGAAAACAATGCCGCCAAGACGAGGAGTAGGGCCGGTGGGATTAGAAACTCGCCCATCTCGAAACCACTCCGGCGCAAGACTGGTCCTAGCCCCGCCATCGTGTCGCAAGTTCTCAGTGAAGTGGATGAACGGAGCCAAGTGAATAAAATGGAACCTATGTTGCCGCTCCCAGTGAGCTCAGCCGAAATGTCGGAAGAGAATGCCTCAGTGTCTCCCGAGAACCTCACGGAGATGCCCCCTCCTCCAGTCCCAACAAGGCGGTCCATGAGTAAATCACCATACATCCAGGCTCAGAATGGCAGCGCCCCAACCTCGGCACCATCCAGCACGACGCCGGTTCCAACATCGCGGTCCTCTGCGACTAACTCTCCTCAAGTTGCAGCAGACCAACCCCATCCAGCTACACCTGCTTCGCTCATGAGGCTAGCGGGATCCAAGGCCAAGAAGGGATCGTCTCACCTCAATGAGCAGGTATCCACTGACAATATCGAGACCCTGGAGTTACCCGAGTCGGTTGCCAAGAAGCAGTTCCCAACCATCAACACCCAGGCTGCAGCCAAGGACGCACCGTACCCTGACCCGGGTTCTGCTAACCGCTCTTCCTTCCAGCCACTTCCTTCTCCAGTCTTCACGCGTCCCGGTACAACATCTGCGAATCAGAGTCCTCTGATTGGGCCAGGATCAACTGGCCCGGCTCCTCGAAAGACACCGCAGCTTGCTCCTCGGGCTAGCAGGAAACGATCAACCAGTTCAGTCCACGTCTCTCCGGCCCTATTGCCAAGGATATCACCCAACATCAAACCGTTATTACCTGGGACTCCCGGCGAATCGGCCGAGGACACTGCCTCACGCCTACTCATGTCTAAATCGAATTACCAGAACATCTTGGAAGGAAACACGGTTCCTGGCGTTTCATATCCCAGCGAACTTTCAACGAACCTGACGTCTAAACGCACATCACACAAGATCGCCGAGCAAGGTCGCAGAAATCGGATCAACTCGGCCCTTCAGATCATGGCAGGCCTCCTACCTGATCAGAAGGGATTTTCTGGAGAAGACAGTGACAAGAAAGACAGCAAACAGGCCAACGCTGCCAACAGCAAAGCCAGTGTAGTCGAGAAGGCTATTGTACATATGCAGCACTTGAGCAAGGAAAACGTGGATCTGAAGGAGGAACTCCAAGATTTGAGAACCCAGCTCGAGAAGCTAAAAGCCAAGCAATGAGGCTGTTCCACCCACGGTGGCAATATCGATACCCGGGGAAGTTCACCATGTGTTCGCCCCTTTTGACGAATTTTTGACCGAGGGATAATCTGGACATAGACGATGGAAAAGACCATATGAGATTAATCAGGGAGTATCTTACAAGTGCATGGGGGGTATGGTATACGAGGTGATAGGATCTAATGATCGACATGAGCTGGGTGGCTTTTTCTGGTTTAATTCATTGGCTTCTTGGGTTTTGTCATATTTATTCTTTTGGGCTGGCTCTTTTTTGTACCGACATCTTTTACCCTTTGAAAGATTAGCATATCAGCGAGAAGGTCTGATCCAAGCTTGGTATTGTTGGATCGCGGTATTCTTAGCTTCGTTCCTGGCATTGACCATGTTTTGGATGTTTGGATGCGCCTGTTGTATAAGAGAACTCTACAATCATATCACATGAATATTATTGTTTCGTCACACACCTTGTCGTGCATTAGCCTGCAGCATACGAACATGTGAGATCATACGAGTATGTATGTGAGATCGATCAGCATGGCCTCTGTGTTGTGCATATATACGCCAGTGGTGTGTGCAGGACGGGCCGCATCAGGCCGGGCCAGTTCATGGAGGCTGGCAATGTTGACGCCAGCAAAAAGTCAAGTCAATCGTGGAAGAGTGTTTTTCTTCAGAATCGGATCGCGAATATATCACTGCCCCGCGTGGAGCCAGGCAACTCATATTGCAGCTGACAGAGAGCTGATGCAACAGCTCGGCACTCTTCTCCAACTCCGACATCCTACTAGGCAACTTCAACATACATCATCACATGTAGGGAGGCGATAATCTACTTATTGTAAAAAGAGAGCTAATGTAACTCCTGAGCACTCCTTTCTATAGCAGGTAGATAATCGCCCCCCCACTTGGGATGATGTAGGTCAAAGTCCCCTAGTAGAATGTCGGAGTTGGAGATTTAGCAAGCCTTCGTTTTGGTTACTTCCTAGCTCTTCCTCATTATTCAATTCTTTTTTTTTTTTCATTGTCATTCCTTTCTCGTTTAACTGCTTGTATATGTCTATGTTCAACTGGGCGGCTTTTGCAGCTTCTGCTGTTCTAAGACATCGACATCGAGGTGCTCCATGACCTCGAGCACGAGTTTGAGGCTTTCCATGAACGAGTTGACGGCGACGCGGAGCATGCGGTTCGTGGCTGCTTTGTACTCCGTCTTGAGCAGTCGGCCTTCGTCGTTGTCGTCGGGAGGGGCGATCACGGACAGGTGTCGGCGCACGAGGGGCGACAGCTCCTTGTCGACCTGTAGGGTCCTGAGGGCCGTGGAGGCGAGGCGCTCGCTGGGGAAGGGGACGTCGATGGTTCTTTACTCGGGGGAAGGCCAAAATGTTAGTTCCTGTGGTTCTGTGTGGTCTTCTCTTGTTCATTTTGTTTGTTTGTTTGTTTATCGAGTATATATGCACTTTTCGTCTTCTTCTTGGGGCTGTCGCATAGGGCAGAGAGGATGGGGAGGGGATAGGAAGGGGGGGGGGTGTGGTAGTGGATGTACGACGTTGTCGCCGTGAGAGATGCGATGACGCGGGGCCAATTGATATTGCAAAGGGAGGGGCAGACTTGCATTGAACAGGGGAACTCGGGGTCTGCCGTGGCGGCCATGGTCGCGGCCTGGGTTGGTTGGCTGAGACTTTTTCTGTGAGGAGGCCGAGGGCTCAGGGATGTGAAGTGGGCTTGGGGAGGTAGGGAGAGCAGAGCTTCCTGAGCCAACGAAACGGAGCTAGAGGTTGTGTTTGGGGATGAGATTGTTATGGGGCGGAAAAGGTTAAGAAAGGTTTCGTCTGCGTCAGGTTTCGTAGGCTGGCTAGATTCGAGAGACGAGGCGGGGTTTTGGGTTGCTTTGGTGCCGGCTGTGGCTGGTGATGTTTTGCGCGCCACAATGTGTCCCCTTGCTTTACAGTTGGCAGCCAGCGCTGTAAGAGGTTTGGCTCGCTGCGGCTAGGCTGTCGGTTACCTGGGTCTGTAGGGGATTGGTTGGTGGATAGGAGGCCGCTGAAGGGGCCGCTGGGGTGGCTTGCACCAGGCCGTTACCCGTTGCAGCGGACAGGGGCCCCGAGGTGCGCTCTTGCCATGCGGTTGCCCTGGTGACGGCCCGGGATGGGGGCCAGCTCCTGCACTGTTATGGAAACTGGGGTTGTTGCAGCGATGCTGGCAAAAACACATAACAAGCGAACCCCATACAAAAACATCATGGCCCCATTCCTGCAGTGATTGACGTCTCAACAACAACGCTCGCCTTCCTCCAACCCTCAAGGCATCATCTCTTCTTCTTTTTTAGTTGAAGCGAGTGCCGTTTTCTTCATCTTAACTCTTCTTCTCCTTCTTCCCTATCCAGCATCTTCTTCCATCCTCTTCCGTACTGGCATCAATTACCTGGAGTAGCTTCACCGAGACCTTTTGTGCTTAACGTTTAACGATCCAACCTTCCATCCTATCCTCATCCTGCGACCTTCCATCCAAACAATTGCCCGTGCCATTGCTTCGAGAGCAACTGCCTACTGGTTCCAGCTGCCTCCCTTTGCACAAGGAGCAGTCGAGCTGTGTAGCCTCTTGCCTCGCCGACCGTGGTGTATGCACGCCTCACCAAAACCTGCTCACGAGACCAATCCACGCAAGAGCTAGAAGCTATGGCTCCTACCTCGAGACAGCCTCGAAACATGGGACAGGTTGTTGAGTACATTCCAGGTCAGTTTTTTATTCCCTCACCGCCTCGTCCTCCATCCCGTCTCTCGTCGTCGAATGCGGTCTGCGAGGGAGCCCAGCGTGAATATCGGGGAACAGACCTGAGCAGCAATGCGATGGTCGACTTCTTGCGACATGCATCCTTACTCGCTGATCACTCCTGATGTTCCCACGAAGCCTTCACCAACTGCCCGGCGACGGCGCCTTTCCCCGACATCATTGCTGACCTATGTGCCAGACCGCTTGTACCTGGCCGCTTACGTTCACGCTCCCACCGCTGAGACACCGTTTCCATACCCCGAGGCGCCGGCCTCTCCCAGGAAGCGTGGACAGTCTGCCGCTACGCCATCTCCCAGCACCGGAAAGACGCCTTGCTACTTCACCGTCGACGACGCTCTCCTCTACAATGCTTTTCACCATGACTTTGGCCCGCTGCACATTGGCCACCTCTACCGCTTCGCTATCCACTTCCACGACATCCTTGGTGCGAAGGAGAACAAGGACCGCCCGATTGTTTTCTGGAGTGCCGCCGACCCAAGAAGTATGTTTTATTATCCTGTTTCTCTTCTCCGCTTCCTCGTTGCCAGCTCGCCAGTGGCTTGGCAAGGGGCGAGTTGAGCTCAGCTGCTGACCGATATTTTCCAGGCCGTGCAAATGCTGCATGCATGTTAGCATGCTACATGGTGCTCATCCAGAACTGGCCCCCTCACCTGGCGTTGGCCCCCATTGCTCAAGTTGACCCTCCTCTGATGCCGTTCCGAGATGCTGGATACAGCCAGGCCGATTACGGTATCACCGTTCAGGATATTGTCTACGGAGTTTGGAAGGCCAAGGAAGAAAAATGCTGCGACCTCGACAACTTCGATCTCGACATGTATGAAAAGTACGAGCGTGTGGAGCATGGCGACTTCAACTGGATCACTCCTCACTTCCTTGCTTTTGCTTCTCCCCAAGACACTCCCGTTGCGAAGATCACAGAAGAGTCGGAGCTCTTCCCATTGCTCCCCAAGACGCTCCAGGATGTTGACAATCATCCCACACTGTCCCAGCCCTTCAAGAATGTCCTCAGCCATTTCAAGGAGAAGAACATTGGGCTTGTTGTCCGCTTGAACTCGCACCTCTACTCCCCTTCATACTTTGAGTCGCTCGGTATCCAACACATCGATATGATCTTTGATGATGGAACCTGCCCTCCACTGACGACCGTTCGAAAGTTCATCCGTCTGGCTCACGAGACCATTACTGTGAAGAAGAAGGGTATTGCAGTCCACTGCAAGGCTGGTCTTGGCCGCACAGGCTGCCTAATTGGTGCCTATCTCATCTACCGTCACGGCTTTACTGCCAACGAGGTCATGTCCTTCATGCGCTTCATGCGCCCAGGCATGGTTGTAGGACCCCAGCAGCACTGGTTGCATCTTAACCAGGGAACCTTCCGTGAGTGGTGGGTTGAGGAGAAGATTGAGCGCAAGCTCAGGAAGGAGATGATGGCAAACAACCAGATGCCCAGCACACCAATCCGCGCCATGCAAAAGTCTTCATTGCGCCAGCAAACCACTACCCCCCCTCACCGAAGCCCCTCGAGCCGTACACCTCTCAGCGAGGTTGACCAGGATCGCAACAACACCCAGGAGGACTACCTGCCCGCCCCTACCCCCGGACAGCCCCGAAAGGCCGCACGTGCTGCCGACCGGCACCACCCCTACCAGCGTTCAACTTCTCAAAGCATCGTCTTGGATGAACAAGCCGAGACTGGGAAAGAGACAGACATTGTCGCTATCCAGCAAGTCTCCGAGTCTGAGGAAGAGTTGCACCTTCGCATGCGAAGTCACCGCAAGGTGTCTCAGTCCCCATCTCGAAGCAGCAAGGTGCGGTCTGTCAGCCAGACAACTGTCTACGTCATTGACAATGATGCATCGCAGGATGCCGAGAACATTGGCTCCGTCCGTGCCAAGCCTATCGATCGAGTCGTTAGCACCCCTAGCACGATGACCAAGGTGCGAGGCAGCAGACGCCAAGCTGAGTCTCCCCTCCGTTCGCGAGACTCCGCCGGTATCCGCAAGACGAGTGGACGCATTGGAAGCACTGGCACCGCCATCACGGCCGCGGCAACCCGCAAGGTCTCCTCCAGCTCTTAGGTGAGCTCTGGTCGAGCTGGCATCGGGTTGTTTCGCAGCCAAGGCAGTATAGTGCAACCTGTTTGCTGGCCGCCACCATCATGATCATGATTCACACGCATGTTCTCACGAATGACTCATGTTCTCATTGCATGCATGAAAGGCGTTATAGGCTGGCTTGATCGAGGCGATCTCCTTCTCCTGTGGTCCAGAGTTCTTCCTACCGATGAGCTCCTGCCTGTTCTCATTTGACTTCTTTCCACGATGGCGACTGTACACCAAAGGATTTTTTCACTTTTGGCTTATCGAACTTACATATATAATTCACGCACCTATAGACAACGGTGGCGATGGTCGACCGGACGGAGAGAAGGCTGGACACTTTTGGCAGGGGCCGTTTGCAGCACGTGGAGCAGGTGGGAGAGTGCCGCGATATCTGACGGCGTCCCGGCGAATTCCTGGGTGGAGAGACCATCATCCCGTAATATGCATCGAGTCCATTGGCGTCTTGTCATATCTTTTTTTGGCACAATTGGATTTATCTCAAAAGGACTGGGAGTAGAGGGTTCTGTATATTCTTATCGCTCCGTCTCAGAATTGTCTCTCTAGTGGGGGTTTTCAAGGTTTATTATAGGCGCAGGGAAATGGTTAGTTTTGTATTTTGATTTTGGGAATGAATTTTCAGCATCAGTTTGACCACATCTTGGCTCCTCATATTGCGGCTACTTCGTAATGATTTATGTTTTGCGTATGCCCAGAAGATTAAGGCGATGCTTCCCTTCGGTCTAATGTAGTTGGTAAGTATTGTTGCCAACCCGTTCGTCTCCCCTTTGGCCCCCCTTTTTTCAGAATGAGGGTCGAATCAATGAATGCTACAGCCGGATACTTTCTAACTTGGACACCACAGACTCCATCAGCTTCCCAGCCTCACCACTCGTCATGCCTTCGTCAGCCCCAAGGCACATCTCCACGACCTCCTTGTACCTCTTGCCCACCTTGCTCCCCAGGCCCGGCACGAGGACGGGCAGGACCACCTTGTCACGCCAGCGCTCAGGGGAGTAGTGCGGCCTGTGGTAGGACCTTAGGACCTTCCACAGGCCGATCTCGAGGAGGAGCAGGCCGAGGCTGTAGACGTCGAAGGCCTTGCAGTAGGGGAGGCCGCGGAGGGAGGAGGGGTGGCGGTGGAGGTTGGCGACGGGGGAGGGGGCCCTCCTGGGTGCGAGGGAGAGGGCGGTGTCGAGGTCCGGGCGGGAGGCGTCGAAGCCGACGAGGAAGGGGGTCGAGATGTCCGGGACGAGGGCGGCGGCGGCGGTGGGGGACCGGGCGGCGGCGGAGAAGGCGGAGGGGAAGAAGAGGATGTTGTCGGCGCGGAGGGACTTGTGCAGCCAGTCGAGGGAGTGGAGGGACCAGAGGGCGACGGCGAGGGAGGCGGCGAGGCGGACGCGGTCGTCAAGGTCCGGGGTCTTGAGGTCCGGGCTGGAGATGAGGGTGTGGAGGGTGGAGTGGGAGGGGGCGGGGGCCTTGTAGACGAGGCCGTAGCGGCTGCGGTCGGCGTCGTCGGTGTAGCCGAGGCAGTCGACGCTCTGGAGGTCCGGGTGGCAGTCGGAGGCGGAGTGCATCATGCGGGCGAGGTCGTCCATGCGGCGGAGGTGGGCGAGGCGCTCGTCGAGGGCGTCCCGGTCGTAGTCGACCCACTCGATGACGACGTCGCCGGCGGTCTCGTGCTGGGCCTGGAAGCGGCGGGGGCCATCGGTCGTCTCGTCGTGCTTCTCGTCGTCCGTTTGGTGTTCGGGGAAGCTTAGAGCC